TAAAGCGAGCTCCGCGCTGTAGTGGAACTGCGCCATAAGAAACTATTTTTATTGTGAAAACACAGTCAGCTGATCGAATGCACCTATTTCCACATCTACACTCCATCAGCTGATTATTTCTATTTGCCTCACTTTATGAGCTTCACAACATGTACCTTGTACCGCAGAGTTTGCAACGCAAATAAATGGGGCCAATCTTCAGTCAGATGTGAATGTGTAATCTAACATTTTCAGTAAGAATAATGGACAAAAGGAGTGCAAATACAAATTCAATTTATTGAAATGTGAACCAAAAGTTAATCAAACATGTTTTAAATAAAAAGCACATATGGACAGAAGATGTAAACCTATTAAATGTATAAGTAAACACATTTAGTCAAATAAAGTGACAGACTAGGCCTGATCAGGTGGTATCAGCTATGCATGGGCTCCTCCATCAGGCCTGGTCCTCCTCACAGAGGAAAGACCCTCAGTCCTCTCCGGCCAAACCAACAGACAGGACGTCCATCACACGGAGGTTTCTCCCTGAAGTCTCTGCAGCTCTCTGGACACCACGCTGTCTCAATCCATCCACCCTGAATATGAGAGGGGAAAAATGAAAATAATAAATGCTTTAGACAATAACAAATATAAAGTTGACTGTTGAGTTGCTCAGTTTTGTTAGATTGTCAATACTATTACTGTATAACTAATATCCCAGGTTAAGAGGCACCTTCAAATAAAGATTGTTCTTTAAATACATTTTGTCTTTTGAATTGTTTGTCTAAAGTCAAGGATCTAGAACTGGTACTTGTAGTTTTAATGATACAGTCTGGTTATAATGCTGTTTGGAGGAGGCCTCACAGGTAAGAGCACTAACTAGCTACCATCACATGTACCTTAGCTTAACTTAAATGTATTAAACGTATAATTAAGTGATGGCAAAATATAAATAACTAATGTCATGCAAACATATTAATATTTGCTTGATTCCAGTGTTTAATTTAGCACAATTGCATACAAACGTTCAGGGATTTTAAGATTCTGAAGTATTATGCTAAAAACTCAACTTAGATTATTATTTATAGTTTTGCTGAATAGTCTCATGTCCGCTTACCTTAGAAACGTAAAATGCGACGGCGGTGTGCAGATGGGGAGCATGTTAGCCTAGCTTGGTAGCTTCAGCTAGCTCTGGAACTTCCAGCCCGGTGGCAGCAGGTCCCGCCTCGGCTCCGCCTCTTTGCCCTTATTTGGAGCAGGCGGGAGTGGAACTCTGACGCCACTGTTAGTGGCCGACTCCGCCTACTAAGGGCTTCTCGGCAACTCTGCAGAATCCTATGGGTGACGTCACGGACCCTACGTCCATTTATATATACAGTCTATGATCTCACCGCATAAGAGGAGGCCTTGCCTCCTCACTGCCATCATTTACTTCTCTTCAGCAAGCAGCATAGGACAGACAGGGCCCCTGAGTAGAGGGCTCCGCCTGTGTTTATATAACAAGGGTTACCATACCAGTGGTCGCGTTAACTGAATATTTTCCGTCATTTTGACAGATTAGAACAAACTCGGAACAGCGCCAAAGCTTCCCTGCAGCGAGGCTCAGGTGTTATGCCGTGTAACCCATGCCTGTCAAAAAGGAAATAATACAGTTTCCAAACCTAACTTTGCCGTACAAATCATTGAAATGTCTGCGAGTTTTAGCTTTACGCTGTGCGCACTCCCGCGAGGTGCAGTGGGCATGCATAACACGGCGCTAAAGTTCACGAGCGTGCGCCCACCCCCCGTTGACAGTTCACGAGCGTGCTCTCCCCCCCCCCGGTTGACAGTTCACGAGCGTGCTCTCTCTCCCCCCCTCGTCAGAGTTGTGTAAAGGCCGACGGGTAATACTGGATTTTGACGGAAATGTTACGATCCTGCCCGTCAAAATGACGGGCAGCGAAAAAGTCTAGCGCAACCTCTGTACCATACGTAACCCCTCGTTATATCTCTCACAGGCTCCCGATGTATACACGCGCTGTTGTCCCACAACAACACTGTTCCATCTCACTGTTTCTGACCGGCTTTCTGGTTAGCAGCCGCTGCGCCTCAGTCACCTCTCCCTCGGTCGTAACCGTGGAGAGAAAAGAGGCTGCGGCTGACAGAGCACTCCCTGATGCGCTTACCCGGCGGAGGTGTGCTATAACGTGGAGGACTCCCCCCTCCTGCCCTAAAGCAGGGGGAAAAGAGTCCTCCAGCCCCTATGGGCCCATGTGCGCGTCACATCCCCCGGGGCCGGGGGCCCGGGGAAAAACGTAAGCGCATTACGTCTGGGGAGGGGGTCAGATGCCCACTGACCCACAGCCCCCCTCCCTCCTCACCAGTCCTGCGTTGCCCCAGCAAGCACAGACGATGAAAAGGAGCCAGACATGTCCAAGAGATAAAACTTTCTGAAGGGGCCTGGTGTTGACCAAGATGCCGCCGTGCATATGTCCTCCACACTCACGCCGTTAAATAAGGCTGTTGACACAGCCATAACTTGTGTAGAGTGTGCACGGACCCCCGTGGGGAAGGCTCTCCCCGCCTGTCTGTAGGCATGTGCAATGCACTCGCAGAGCCTGCCTGCCAGGCGTTTCTTGGACAGAGCTTTTCCCGTTACCCCACCCCCGAAGCACACAAACAGCTGTTCTCTACATAACATGCTAACGCGCGCACCGGGCAGAGGAGGTAAAATTTAGCCTCCCTCGCCCCACCATGGGGTGGAAGACTAAAACCCCCCAACTGAATAGCCCTCGACCTGAACACACTCCTTAGGCTCTTGGGCACAAAGGAGGGGTTCGGTCTGAGTGTCACCCCGAATCAACAAGCAGCTCGGGTGCACCGATTGGCTGACGCTTCCGTCGAAGCTTGAAAAGTTGAACTTTTCTCAACTTTCGAAGCGAGCAATGGAGGCAAAGCAACGCGACAGAACCACAATGCAGTTCGGCAAAGCCTGACGTCACCCCATTCAAAGTGAATGGGAAGCGTCTCCGTCGAAGCAACGCACGCTGCCGTGTGGACGGGCCGCTAGGCTCCAGAACTGTCAGTGTTGAGTAAAGTAGGACCCAAACGCAGTACAGAGATAGGGAAGGTGTATGGGATTAGTTTTGTGTCATAAAGACAAAGCAACACTTTCTCAGAATCAAGCAAAACTAAGAGTTTAAGAGAACAAAAAATTGAGTCAAGCTAAATTAATTTAATTTAAAAAATAAAACTATAAGTTGCAAACAAATCATTTGTGTAATCATGTAAACTATAACTCTTTTTTCTTTGTTTTAACATACCTTTTTGTTTGCAGTTGTCTTTGCTTCTTTCTCAATGATCAGACTTTTGCTCTCGCTGGTGCTCTTCTCGTTTGCGCTCCTTCATTTTTAGTTTTTGATTCTGACACAAACGCCCCAGGTGGGCTGGACTTTCAGGGGTGCATCCCCATTGGCTACTCCGTTTTTGAGTGACAGCCCAGTCCTCCAGCGATTGGACAGTGAAGCTGCGGTAGCTGAGCACGGACAGAAAACCCCCAGAAGAACCAACATTTCAATTATTATAATACAAGTGAAAATATATGTAAGTATTGATCATTTGTGTTGTTTGTGCTGTAGCAAAGCTGTGCTATGAAAGTTAGCTTTTGCTAACTTTAGATCCATAACAATGCTATCTAAGTAGCCTAACAGCAGGGACAGTTAGCTTAGCTACTTAGCTACCAGTGCGTGAGCGTTCAGACACCGGCACACACACTCAAACGGACTCGTGTGCCTGACTCTACCAACATGCTTTCATGATTCTGTTTAGATATGCAAGTATAAGCCATGATAGCTTATTTTATTAACACGCTAATTTGATATGAAAATCAATGGAGGCTGAGTTTACTACTTCTCTTTGTAGGAAAACCTACCGTCCATGACTGCCCCTGAGCTGAGTTTTATTTGTCATACAAATGTTGAGCTTTGTCTTCTCTTCTATGCATTGCAAAATGCTACACATAGGCTACTCGTATTAAGTATCAGATTTGAGCTCTCTTCCTTTTCATTTCCAATTCCATTTAAAAATAAATGTTGAATTAATGGCACAATTAATGGCACAATTAATAGCGATGCCGGTGTGGTGCAGATGGTGGATTCTGCCAGGGGAGTGCAGGGCTCAGCATAGGGCTGTGCAATTAATCGTATTTTAATCGCGATTACGATTATGGCTTGCGACGATTATGAAAACAGCATAATTGACAAAATACGATTATTTTGCTGGGTGCGCTTTCGCCCCTCCCTAAAAGCCCACTCGGCCACGTGGGAGTGACATGTGTGAGTGTTCAGCGCGAGCGAAGATGTCAGAACAAGAGCAGCAACTCGTTAAAAAGAAGGGTAAAACTATTTCCACTATTTGGAAGTACTTTGGCTTTCAGGAGTCCGACGTGGAGCAAAACAAAGTACAGTGCAGGATTTGTTACCAGGTTGTGTTGGCACCACACGCTAACACAACCAATCTCTTTAATCATCTGAAATACAACCACAAAGTGCAATACGACGGGGCAATAATACAACAAAAAGCAGACCAAAAAGATGCCCGCTCGACTTCATCCACAACATCATCACAGTCATCGATTCAGGACGCATTGCACAGAGCAATGGCCTACGCGACGAGCTCGCAGAGACACAGAGATATTACAGGTGCCATTACATTTCACATCGCTAAAGATATGTGCCCAGTTAGCACTGTTAGCAACCAGGGCTTTAAGCAACTTGTCAACACGTTGGACAAGCGTTACGCGATGGTCTGCGCTGCCTGCGCTATATGACAAATGCCGTGGGGAAGTTGAGAGAGATGTGGCTTCAGCTGACTACTTTGCCACCACAACGGACCTATGGTCTAGCCGCACCATGGAGCCATACATGAGCCTCACAGTTCATTATATCGATGCCGATTTCAATTTGAAGACAAAGTGTCTCCAAACCGCATTTTTCCCTGAAGACCACACGGGGCAAAACATCGCCCATGGACTGAGGGAAGCGATGGCTGCTTGGGGGTTAAAAGAGGATAAACTCGTCTGTATGACTACGGACAATGCCGCAAATATAAAGCTGCCGGCTGAGGTCAATGGATGGATGAGGCTCCAGTGTTTCGGGCATAGACTCCACTTGGCCATAGGTGAGCAGGATTCCTTCCTCCTGTTGTATGTAATATGTCATTTTAACAACAGCAACAACAATAATAGCAATAGTAAGTCATTAACATTGATGATCTCTCTCTTAATATGATAATATTAATTACATATTATTATTATTATTATTATTATTATTATGTTATGTGTGAGCTACTCTGTCATCTCTCTCTTTTTTTTCTCTCTCTCTTTCCCTCTCTCTCTCTCTCTCTCTCTCTCTCTCACACACACAACACACCAAATTATGCTTTGATGAAGATCATGATTATCATCATGATACTAAATAATATGTATTTGTTGTAATCTTAGAGAATGCAATGAAGGATCCCAGGATCGGCCGTGCAATGGGGCTTTGCAAGAAGCTGGTCAGCAGCTTCTCCTACAGTTGGAAAAAGAAGAGGGAACTTGCAGTGGCACAGCAGCAGCTGAATCTGCCTGAACACTCCCTAAAGACAGAATGTCCAACCAGATGGGGATCTAGGCAGGCCATGATCGACAGGGTCCTCGAGCAGCAGAAGGCCATTGCCCAGGTCCTTTCCAGCGACCGAAAAACCAGACATCTCTCCTCACGTGGCAGGACGTTGATGTACTGGAGGCAATCAATAAGTCGCTTAGCCCTCTGGTGGAATTCACAGACGCACTTTCTGGAGAGAAGTATGTAAGTGTGTCTTTTTTTAAACCAACCCTGCACCTCTTCAACAACTCATTGCTGGCAGTGCAGGAGGATGACACAGACCTCACAAAAAGCATAAACAAGAAGATACTAGACTATCTCAATGATAAATATGATGACGCAGCGACACAAGAGCTGCTTGACATGGCCTCTGCCCTGGACCCGAGATTCAAGCTCAAATATGTCAGTGAGGACAATCGAGGATCCATTGAAGCCAGCCTGACAACTGAGATGAGGAGGGTGATGACACTCATGGTAATAATAATAATAAAAAATAAAAATGTCAGATTTGACAGTAAATACAATTAAGTGAATGAATGTGTTGTCAAAGTGTTATAATGTAATTCTAGGTATAAATGTTAATACCCATAACCATTTAGTCTGATTAAACATGTCATTCTTATTTTCTTTATAATACTCCAAGGAGAACGCCCCTCTTGAGACGGCAGCGGTGCCTGCAGATGACACGGAGGATGCTGCTGCAGCTGCACCAAAGAAGAAAAAGAAGGGACTGGGGAGCTTCTTCAAGGCCACCGTAGACCAAGCTGCAGAACCTCAACCTGCTCTGGAACAGGACCAGGCCATAGCTCTTGAGCTACAGTCCTACCTCCAGGCAGTGCCACTGGATGCTGAGGAGGACCCACTAAAGTGGTGGAGGGAATCCTGGAAGTTCTACCCACGGCTCTCCATCCTGGCAAGGAAGTATCTGTGCATCCCAGCCACAAGTTCCTCTTCAGAGAGGGTCTTCAGTACAGGTGGCAATATTGTCACCTGCCTCCGCTCGTCTCTGAAACCAGACCATGTCAACAGGCTGGTTTTTCTTGCAAAAAATCTTTAAGAGATGACATGAGCAGCCCTACCAGCATTTGCCATGGTGGCCATGTTGGCTATATGTTAAGGAGTTGTCAGTAGGTTGTGACAGTGCACTGCAACATATTTGATTTAATTTATTTTGGTCTAATTTATTTTTATTTATCATATTAATATATGTTTAGTATGGTTTTGGAAGTGCGCTCCATTATGTGTTGACCTTGTTTATTGGTAAAATATTATTTGTTTTAAAGTTTAATAAATGGTCAATGAATAATCGTCAAAATAATCGTGATATCAATTATTGACCCAAATAATCGTGATTATGATTTTTGCCATAATCGCACAGCCCTAGTTGAAATTACACCCTCGCCTACTGATTTTAATTTAACCATATATCGAGCCCGATCGTCGATTTCAAATGTGTGCTCTAAAATGATATTTATAAATGACTATTATCATTATTATAAGCAAGACAATAAATGGCAAAGATATGTAGAAAATAACCGTATTTAAGATACGTTCATAACAAACGTAACGTTGGAGAAAATATGTTTCTAGAAGATATGTAGAAAATAACCGTATTTACGATACGTTCATAACAAACGTAACGTGGGAGAAAATATGTTTCTGGCTAAACGTAATTGAGAATGCAGTTTAGTTCTGTGGGAACGTAATTTTTAGGAGACAGGGTTGACAGTAGGCAGCCACATGACAACTGGCGGGCTTACTCTGAAGTAAAGCAGTCCTTCGCATGCCGTAAAGCATGTCGCAACACTGTCGTAACAGCCTTAACTCAGTATGCATTGTATGCATATGTGACATCTCCCCTTTTTTCCTAGTTATTTAATTTTAAATAACTGTAAAGAGTTTTGACCGATTAGTCACAGCATCATCCTGTAATAGAAAACAACAGTCAAACTGTGATAAGAAATGTTCATTCAGTCGTACTGACCAACCAAAAGTGTCCTATGAATACAGGTTAACTTCACAGATTATGTTAATAAAGATGGGTAACCAATACCTTCAGTAGTGCTGTAACAAAATAAAATTCAAGATGCAAGTTTTCTTTTCTAAACATTGCAGCAGTAATATCACATTTGTACATAACATTCACAATAAACAGAACTCAAAATTCAGCAGACTCAGAGTCCACCTGTGTTTCCCTATTCATTTTCTCCCCCCCAAAGGCCATAGGTGTTTTTTTTCTTATTCACCCCCAGAGGTCATTGTGAAACACCCAAAACACTCCTGTCTACAAGTCCAACCTAGTGGCCGGCTTACTGACACGGCCAGACCTGGTCTGAACACGTCCTGGTGTTGTTGTATGGGTTGTCACCTCACTTGGTTTCAGGGTAACAGTCTCTGGTGTGTTGGCGCTTACAGGCTGGGAAATCGCCACAGCACTCTCTGCTGGTGTTAGTGGGATGTGCAGGTCGGGAAGTTAGTTCTGCCCGGAGATGAAGTCGGTTCCGCCGCAGCACTGCACCTCCTTGTGTGTTAATGAGGTAAGACCTCGGAGTAACACACTCTTTTGAGACGATTGCTGGTGTCTTCCAGGACTTCTCGTTGTCGAGCTTGGTGTAGACTGTGTCTCCTGGCTGTAGAGCTGGTAGATGCCTGGCACCATGTCGTCGGTTGTAATAAAAGGCTTGTTTTGCTTTCTCACTCGTGTCCTTTTGTTTGACAATCTGTCAAAGGCCATTTAGGCCGTAGATTTTTCTCGAGTGTCGTTCTGATCTTTCTCCCCCATTAGCAGTTCTGCTGGACTGACTCCTGTGGTAGTACAGGGAGTGGATCTATAGCACATAAGGGCTATCAGCGGATCTTCCTGACGAAGGATTCTCTTAGCGGTCTGTACTGCTCTTTCGGCATGACCGTTTCCTTGAGGATGGTGAGGAATAGACGTGATGTGTCTGAAGTCCAACCACTGTGCCAGCTCCCGGAATTCTGCACTGGAGAATTGGGGACCATTGTCACTCACAACCTCTTCAGGAATTCCGAACCTAGCAAAGGTAGTTTTAAGTCTCTGGATGACAAGGGCACTTGTCGTAGATGGTAGTTGTAGTATTTCCAGATACCGTAAATAGTAGTCTGAAATCACAAGGTAGTTGTGCTTGTTATGTTTGCAGAGGTCGAGAGCGATTCTTTTCCACGGACGATCAGGCAGTGGTGTGGAAATAAGCGGCTCCTTCTGTTGAGCCCGCTTCTGCTCCTGGCAGCTCTTGCATATGTTGACAATGTTCTTAATGTCTACAGAGAGCCCCGGCCACCAAACTGATGCATTCACCCTTTCTCTGCATTTTGAGAGCCCCTGGTGTCCCTCATGTATTTTCTGCAAAATGTCTGCTCTCAGTGACCCCGGAACCACGATCCTGTTTCCTCGTATGACTAAGCCATCAGCTTCCGATAGCTCATTTTTCACTTTGGTGTAGTCTCTGATGTTCAGTGGAACATTACTACTGTACTCAGGCCATCCTGCCCTAATCAGCTTGATGACAGCCTGAAGCTCACTGTCGGCTGCTGTCTCTTTTCTGATATTCTCCATTCTCGTTGGAGATGCTGGGATGCCCTGTATCACTGTGGCTACATAGCATGCCACATCTTCTTGAGTGTCAGTCTCTTCCTTTGTGTGTGTCTCATGAGCCTCATTAGTAGACACTGACATCTCAAGGGGACGTTGAACTTCTCACAGGCCCATATGCTAGCCAAGCACTCCTTTTCTATCTGGGCGTAGCGTGTCTCCGCTTCTGTGAGACGCCTCGAACAGTAGGCTACTGGCTTCCACTCCTCTTCATGGAGCTGGAGGAGGACCCCCCCAGGCCATAGCTACTGGCATCAGCAGACACCGCTGTGGCTTTAGCCACATCATAGAAGACAAGAACAGGTGCCGTGGTCAGCATCTTCTTAATGTTCTCAAAAGCTGACTGCTGTGAGTGACCCCAGGTCCAGATGTTCCTGCTCTTCAGAAGCTCGTACAGTGGTTGACCTATTGTGGAAAGGTTTGGAACGTACCTACCCAGGTAGTTCACCATGCCCAGGACTCTTTTCAGCTCATGGACGTTTCCTGGTGGAGCCAGCTGATGTATGGCTTCAACTTTATCAGGGTCAGGCCTGACTCCTGACTGGTCGATGAGATGTCCCAGAAAGCGTAGCTGGCTTTGTCTGAGGGAACATTTATCTTTATTGAGTTTTAAGCCTGCTGACTCAACACGCTGTAGTACCTTCTCGAGTCTGGCGTCGTGCTTTTCTGTCGATGTCCCATAGACCAGGATATCGTCCATGAAGACTTCAACGCCTTCCAGCCCCTGCAGAGTCTCTAGTATTTTCCGCTGTAAGATCTCAGGCGCACTGGAAATCCCGAAAGGTAACCTTTTGAAACAGTTCCTGCCAAACGGTGTTATAAAGGTTGTTAATTTACAGCTGACTGGGTGCAGTGGGATTTGCCAGAACCCACTTGCAGCGTTGAGAGAGGAAAACACAGTTGCACCACTTAGCTTTGCAGTTATTTCATCAGAGGTAGGTAAGATGTAGCGCTCTCTTTTTACTGACTCATTTAGTCTTTTCAGGTCCACACAGATCCTGGCTTTGCCTGTGGTTTTCTTTAGAACTGGCACCATAGGAGCACACCATTCAGTTGGCTGTGTTACCTTCTCGATGACACCGTTCTTCTCCATCCTCTGCAGTTCCTCTTTTACCATCTGTAACATTGGGAAGGGCACACGACGTGCTGTATGCACTGCATATGGTTGAGCCCCATCCTTTAATTGGATTTTAACAGGTTCAGTTTTTAGTGTGCCGTGCTCACCATAGGCTTGAAGGTGTTCACTGGTAGTGAATTTCACTTCATCAACACGCCTCACCAGGTTCATCTCCACTGACAGATCCCGGCTGAGTAGGTTATTGACACTCTGGCCACGGACTACATATGCTTCAAATAGGTAGTTATTTCCCTTGTAACTAACTGTAGCATTAAAGCGTCCCAGACACAACAGTTTAGCTCCTGGGCTGTCTAATGGGATGTCAGCTGGTTTCAGTGTTTTTGGTGGAGTGAGTGTGTGAAATGCATCCTCACATAAGACGCTGACATCAGCTCCTGTGTCAATTTTAAATTCCATTGGAGTAGAATCCACCTGGAGCTGTACTGTCCACTGCTCTTTCTCCTCTGCACTGCACACTGAGCCTAAGAAATAATGGGTCTGCTCAGCCTGTACAGTCCCTGTGACCTCATTCACTGATCTATTGCTGTTTCGGCACACTCTGGCCCAATGTCCTATTTTATTGCACTTGTGGCATGTAGCTTTAGCTGCAGGACACCCTTCTTCCTTGCTATGCTGTGATTTCCCACATTTACCACATTTCCTTTCACTCCCCCCCATTTTCTGTCTTTTGACTTGCCTTGATGTTGTTGAGGTTTCCATTTGTTATTTTTTTCTTTGAATCTCACCTCCTGTACTGATCCCACTGTGTCTTCCTGCAGACTCACTTGTGCTGCGACCTCCTCTGACTGCCTGACTGTCCGTATCGTCAGTGCTAGTGTTAGGTCCGCCGTTAGCTGCAGCCTGCGCGAGAGCTCTCTGTCTCGTATCCCGACGACAATTCGGTCGCGCCAAACTCACAGTGTTCTGATAGATCATACAGGGCTCGGATGAAACCCTCTGCCTTCTCCCCTGGCCGCTGGACACGCTGGTGGAAACATGCCCTCTCGTGGATAACGTTCCTCCTCGGGAAAAAGTACTTGTTGAACTTTCCCACCACAAAGGCAAAGTCATCGCCGTCATCTTCTTCGGCAAAAGTGAACGACTTGAATATGTTTTCTGCCTCGTTGCCCATGGCATAAATCAGGCAGCTCACCTGCACTCTCCCGTCATCTTTGTCGAGTTTAGTAGCAAGTCTGTACCGCTCAAAGCATTGCCTCCATTCTGGCCATTCAGTCGGCTTATCAAAAGAAAAGTTTGCTGGGGGATTAAACTTGGCTATTCCGCCGTCTATATTCCTTTACTTTGTCTTGTTTATTTCCTGTGACTCACCGGTCACTTCTGACACCATGTTGAATGATCGAGGGTCGAGTATCTTTCACGACTCAGGTTTATTATACAGTAAGTCAAGACATTACAGTAGGCAGCCACGTGACAACTGGCGGGCTTACTCTAAAGTAAAGCAGTCCTTCGCATGCCGTAAAGCATGTCGCAACACTGTCGTAACAGCCTTAACTCAGTATGCATTGTATGCATATGTGACACCTTCCTAACGGAGAGAAATGACCCGGAAGTCCCTCAGTGGCAGCCATGATAAGTGCCGTTTGAATTCTCTAAATGAAAGGAAAGGAGGTTTCAAACTTCCTTTATAACCTCCTTTAGCTTAGGAACCACTGGACCTCCCTAACCTAAAGGAGAGGAGAAAATGCTGCCCCACAATGCCTTGCGGCCGCAGCATTTGCCATCACACAACAGTCGGCCGTTCACGGAAACAACCGATTATGACCGAGAAATGATATCATGAAAGTTACGGTGCTTATTAAGCATTTTAAAACGTATGTGGTAAGTTGCCAAAGTGCTTTGTTTTGAACGTTCATCAGTATTATAATCAAAAAGAGAAATATCAACGTTAGTTTTTACTGAAATGATCAAATAAAGTCAACATTTCACAGTCTTTACTGAGCTGTGTGGGGTTTGTTCAACTTTTAAAAGATATTTGAATGGTGATATACACAGTGATAGATGTTAAGGACTAACGTTTATAATAAATACATTTGTATTGTCGCTGAAATGGGGAATTGAAATGACGGGCCAAAAGTTGTATTTACAAGTATTAAAAGTAAGCAGGACACCAAACCAACTGAGACCTGTCTGTCCGCCGCATCTACACACGGTACAACACAGACCTACAGCTCCTAAAGCATAATCAGGCTACAGCCGTTGTGTATTTTATTATGTGAAGCACTAAATGGTCTTAGAAAAATATCGACTCTTTGTTTGTAGATATCTATTAAACTACAGCATACAAATACAGAGAGTAATGTAGGCCTGTTATACTGAGTGATATATATTATACACACTGCTCTGCTTTCTGCACGGACCTCACAGCTGTTCTCACTGTAAACTTCGCGTCGCGATGAAAGCAGTTACTAAAATAATATCCAGGGGATGCATGCAGAGCTGTCATTGGCTGAGATAAGTCCGGCCGTGCGTAACGCCTCCACCGTTCCCGGAAATGCATCCGCAGAGGAGCCGTGGAGGACCCATCAGTGTCTCCTCGGTTAGAGCTCCTCCAGAGAGCCTCCTCGATGCTCGATGCTCGGTCCTCGATGTGCATTTAGAGAAATGAGACGTCCTTCAACATGGCGCGCTGAAATTCATTTCCGGGTCACTACCGGAGGACCGAGGAGTCGAGGAGTCGAGGAGTCGAGGAGGGGAAATTAGAGCATTGGGAAACCTCTTTTGAAACATCTCTGTTCCCGGAAATGCATCCGCGAAGGAGCCGTGGAGGACCGTGGAGGACCCATCAGTGTATCCTCGGTTATAGCTCCTCCAGAGAGCCTCCTCGACGCTCGATCCTCGGTCCTCGATGTGCATTTAGAGAAATTAGATGTCCTTCAACATGGCGCGCTGAAATTCATTTCCGGGTCACTACCGGAGGACCGAGGAGTCGAGGAGTCGAGGAGGGGAAATCTTTGAAATGAGACACGGCCATTACATGCTACTCAAGCTAGAATGATAACAAACCACAGGTGCGCTACCTAACAGGTCCGTGGCGCAACACACTCTCTATAACACAGTGAATTATGTCCCGTAATGTTCCACCACAAAAGCAAGCAACTGCCGGACTTACGCTCTACAAATACTCACACTATAAAAACACGCTAAACACAAGTCAATCAATATAAACTCACCTTATGATTTTCATGGCTTTAACCTAGCTAACGTATGACAATGTTTACAAATTGACAGCTGTATTTACGTTGCTCGTTGTAAGGGCAAATGTGAACTCAGCTTTTTGCAAACAATGCGTCTTGTGATAACCTGTAACTATGACGAACATTTGATGACATAACTTTTTTCTTATTTCTTAACATGATTGAGACTTATAGAACGTACACCCCTCAATATTAAAATAGTTCTACATGATTGATTGATGTTTCGATGAGAAACATCAATCAATTCTGTCTCATATATTAACTGCATATTTGCAAATTGAACAACCCCACTTTCCCCTTTTTTTCAGTGTGCAGTGCAGGCATATTGTCATTCAAGAGATGCGTAGTTCTTTTGGAAAACATGTTTTTCTTTTAGCCTATTTACCTCGTTAACGTAAATAATACTCATTCCATTGACACATCCATTATTTGCGATTAAAATAATGGTTGTTGGTAATGTATTAGCGACCCCCACAGATGTATAATTTCACTGCGTCCGTGGGAGCTCAGCTCCCATTGGCTCCCACATAACTCGAACCCTGCTTGTAACCACTTGTGAAAGATTGTTACTGCTATCTGCAGCACTATTATACAGGAGAACTGCTGTACCTTATTATCAACAAGCTCTCACACGAAAATCCAGATCTGCCTTCTACAGAACAGCATCTGATGAGGTAAGACGCATTCATGAAGATTGTTTGAAGATTCATTTTAATGACAACATGAAACCTAATTTGAGAAATGAAAATAAAACTATTGAAATATGAATGTTGCAGCTGGTAACTTTTCATTTGAAATACTCAATCTTTATCCAATGCAGTTACTTATGATTGATCAAAATCACAACAAAACCTATTAAAACTTGAAATTATTTTTAAATAGTCATCAGTGTGGAAAGTAAAGGACTGCACTCATGAAACTGTGTCTCAATTTATTAAACAAATCCCTGAAAAGTATCTTGTGTCAAGTATCAGCCTACTATCACCTAAAGAACATATCTAGGATTAAAGGACTAATGTCACAGCAGGATTTGGAAAAACTTGTCCATGCTTTTCTCTTCAGTAGACTCGACTACTGTAATGGTGTCTTTACAGGCCTCACTAAAAAATCTATTAGAAAGCTGCAGCTAATTCAGAACGCCGCTGCTCGAGTCCTCACTAACACTAAGAAAGTGGATCACATCACTCCTGTTCTGAAGTCCTTACACTGGCTTCCTGTGTGTCAAAGAATAGATTTCAAAATATTGTTGCTGGTTTATAAAGCTTTGAATGGTTTAGGCCCAAAATACATGTCTGACCTACTGCTAAATTATGAACCATCCAGATCTCTCAGGTCTTCAGGGACTGGTCAGCTTTCTGTCCCCAGAGTCAGAACTAAACATGGTAAAGCAGCATTCAGTTATTATGCTCCGAATATCTGGAACAAACTCCCAGAAACCTGCAGGTCCGCTGCAACTCTTACTACTTTTAAATCCAGGCTGAAGACTTTTCTTTTTGCCGCTGCTTTTAATTGAACTATTCACATCTTAAACTGCACTGTAACTTTTAACTTTTATCCATGTATTTTTTCTTTTAATGTTTATTTTATTATCTTTCCTTTTTAATGACTGATTTTAAATGCCATTTTTAAAATGTCTTCCATTTTTGTAAAGCACTTTGAATTACCTTGTGTTGAAAGGTGCTATATAAATAAACTTGCCTTGCTTTGCCTTGCCTTACAACAAAATGGATAGCCATGATTTGTCAATGTCTCATATGCACTTTATTTCTTCACAAAAAGTTGACACCTTAGGGAATTCCGAAATCTTTCTTAAGGAAGTAATTTCAATTGATGACAAGAACATAACAGTATTACAAAAAGGGTCCTAATATAGTTGAATGCACATTATCTGCATATTACACATGTAGGTACAGTAAACTGTATATATATATACCTGTGTGAGTGTGTATGTATATATATATATATATATATATATATATATATATATATATATATATATATACATAATTTCTGAATATTTATTCATAACATTTACATACTGCAAACATTGCAGGGATATACACATTTTCTGATTTATTAGGCAAAAGTTATTCAGAAAGTGAGAGGCAAAAGCCAAACATTCTGCGATAAAGCCTCCTTCACAAAAGGGAGAATGTTTTGTTTGTTGAAATGGCTATAAGGGTGTTTCTTATATGTAGTCTTACATTACAGGAAAAAAAACGTAAACTAAATGAAATGTAATGTAGTCTAACCTGGTTGTTCGTACTTGATATAATTGATTTTGCTAGGAACAACCAAAAACCCTGCATTCTTGGAACGCAATGCCCTAGTGGGACAGTAGGGTATAATGAGCTCTTTAAGATAAAGATGGGGCCTGCCCATTAAGGGCTTTGTAGGCGAGAAGAAGAATTTTAAATTCTATCTTGTGTTCTACAGGGAGCCAAAACAGGAGTAATGTGGTCCCTTTTCCGTGCTCTGGTCAATACATTTTGAATCAGCTGAAGCAACTTAACTGACTTTTTGGACACCCTGATAATGAGTTACAATAAGCTAGCCTTGAAGTAACAAATGCATGGACTAGTTTCTCTGCAGCGTTTTGAGGCAAGATATGCCTGGTATGTGATTTTGTAAATACATTTAGCACACAACTACAATCATAACATCATTAGAAAATGAAATGATTTGATGATTTTTATGACTGTGATATTTTGTTTTCTTTGATAAATGCGGAGTTTAAGCGCATAACAACCCTGCCCCTCCAATCAAGATTTCTCTCTCAGCTGGATGTGCTATCTGACAAACTTCTGAAGATTTTTGAGAAGAGAGGAGGACAGATAGGCCAGCGTCTGAACTGTATTATGTCAAACATGACTCAAGTAAGAATTAATTTTAAGGAAATTATACATCGAGTCAATAGTGTACACATTTCATTGAGCAAAACAGATTCTTTCTTTTCGTATCCCCCTTCACTTAGGTTGATGATGTCGATTTAGGGCGGGAATGTCTTCTCAAGGGGCTGTGTTTGCACCTCAATGAGGACCCAGTAGATCTGCTGAGAGAGTTTGTGGTCAGTAGAAGTAATATTTGACCTTTTGATTTTTTTTGTTGGGCTTTAAAATATGTATTTATTGAAACACCACATAGTATAAAGCCAAAAGTATATGAACATTCCTGTTTTTTGTTTAATAGCCAGACTACACTGAAAAGCTAGAGGGCTTTTAATTTAAAACGGATACAGGAAGGGAAACATTTGTTATCAGGTCAGACAGGAGTATATCAGATAACAAGGAGACTTAAAAGTACTGAAATCTGACCAAATGTACTTGTTAAACACAGGGATTTAGTAATGGGTATTGTTAAGGAATAATTCTTCTAGATATCTAACCTTTTACTCTGACATCTGTTATCTCCTTTAAGGAAAGGCCTTGGTGCCATATGTGTTGTTGTCACCAGGTTGTGACCGGTCAACTTGTCTGGCACGAATGGTACTTGTTGTGAGAACGCTGAGGCACTTCTTTATCGGTGTTTGTGGGCTCTAAGATGTGAAATCTTTGAGGCCATGAGTGTCGGACGCAGGTGGTTCAGTGTTCCCAGCTGTTTAGTCTACTCCTTCAGAGATGTTGATTACTCTCTGTGAACCAGTTAAAAGGTCTAACATAGAGAGAGGCTCTTCAGAATTGACGTGGCAACTCTACCGTGTAGTCAGAACCTCTGACTCTTTGATTTGTGATGTGAATCCTCCGGCCGAATACTCTGAATAAACCCATCAGTGTTTGACATCAAAAGCTCCAACTCTCCACCGTGTCTCCTTCCTGACTCGGTGACTCCATGCATTACTACACAGAAGTTTTCTCCACAGGTATATATATGTATTGATTTGTTAGATCTCACTCTGTTCCTTTTGTGACTGTGCACTCTGCAGGCAGAAGATGAAGACGTCATTCTGCGGTCCATTCAGTGGATTACAGTGGGACTTTATGTTGTCAAACAAAATTCCACCATGAGACCAGAGGACAGATGAGACCAGAGGACAGATGAGACCAGAGGACAGATGAGACCAGAGGACAGATGAGACCAGAGGACAGACGAGACCAGAGGACAGATTGTCCTGGAAGGCCAACAAGTACTAACTGATGAGGACAACATTGCATTAGCTGCTACCATGTTATTTGGACTAATGTATGCAATGAACCTGAACTACCCCCCTAAACTGAAGTGCACGTTCGAAGTGCTCCAGAAATCGTTAATGGAGCTAGATGGCAACATGCTCTCCAAGAAAGCCCAAGCGTTTAAAAATAAACTATTTGAGTGAGCTGTTGCCATGGACCATTGTGCACTTTTACAGCATTCATACTGGACTTTCATCGATACAACTGTCTTGCACTTCCTTTGCTCATGCTTTTTGCTGTATTTATTTGCATGTTTCAGAAATGTGTGTTTTTCCATGAGTTTCAGAATGTACCACTTGCATCAAAGTGTCAGATTTGCAGAATTGTCTTTATCTAATTGCGCTACCTCAAAATGTCAGTTCTTGTTTTTATTTGTAATACTTTCTTTAGTGCATATGTGGTGAGAAACCAGGCCATTATTATACTTTCATGTATCTTTCTTGTATTAAAGTGACCTTTCATATTAGCAGGTTACTATTTCAATAATGGATTTGCAAGAACATTTCCTTTTTTCGGCGTTGACATTTTCTGTTAATTGTTTACTATGAATGAGTTAAAAAAATAAGCCTTTCTTTGCCATTTGGCACAATAAACCTTTATTTTGGTCGGGAGAATAGTTTCCTTTAAGCTTCCTTGCTGTGTTCTAACACAATAATGTATATATACATGCATCACAAACATTTTCTATTTCAAATCAAATCAAATCAAATCAAGTTTTATTTATATAGCACATTTATAAACGATTTTTGGTCGAGCCAAAGTGCTGTACATATAGTAAAAAAAAAACCTACAGTAAAGGCAAGGCAAGGCAAGTTTATTTATATAGCACCTTTCAACACAAGGCAATTCAAAGTGCTTTACAAAAATGGAAGACATTATAAAAATGGCATTTAAAATCAGTCATTAAAAAGAAAAGATAATAAAATAAACATTAAAAGAAAATATACATGGATAAAAGTTAAAAGTTACAGTGCAGTTTAAGATGTGAATAGTTCAATTAAAAGCAGCGGCAAAAAGAAAAGTCTTCAGCCTGTAAAGACATTTTACAGCAAATACAACAGCACAGTTTGTTCAGAATATCACTATGAGAAAACGACACCCTCTGTCCTTAGACCCTCACATCGTACAAGGAAAAACTTCCGGAGAAAAAACCCACAGTTTAAAGGGGAAAAATGGGAGAAACCTCGGGGAGAGCAACAGAGGAGGGATCCCTCTCCCAGGACGGACAGACGTGCAATAGATGCCGTGTGTAAATCTAAGAGATAATACATTTTACAGCGTAGGTAGACCGCATGTTAGGAAATGCATATTTATTCTATTTCTTTATTTTCAATGTATTTGTTAATTCTCCTGGGGCTGCATGGAAAAACCAAAAGCTCATCTGGATGTGTAGCTGGTTGTTAATATTGTTTTATTTTTTGAGAAAAATACATGAATGTTGTTCAAAGAAATGTGTTTGTCTTTATTGACTATTTGTTTTTAAAATGTTATGATAAATGCTGTAGATAAGAGATTAGGATGGATCCTGAAGAAGAATGTACGAAATGCCTCTATTTACATAAAAGCAATACTCTTATGTACCTTGAGCAGGCTAGGTAGATTAAACAGAAAACTATAGCATGTAGTTTAAACAACACATTAATGTGGCTTTAACAGGTACAAATGAAATATACTGAGCATATTAAAAGCCTAAAATGAACATTAAAAAGTCATGTTGGTTAAACATAGGGTAAATGAATATACGTAATATTAAAGGAAATATTCACATTAACAACAATTTAATGTTTCTTTGACATAAAATAGTTGTGTGTCTTTAACATAATGGAATAGTTTTAAGTACACATGTTTTTAATATGTGCAACCGATGTCCATATTAAAATCATGTGAATCCAACAGCCTTTTTTTTCAGTGTAGAGGACTCAATAGCACGACTCAGAGACAGAGGCTTAGGTTGCAGAAAGGATCTTTATAGCCAAGGTTCGGTACACGGGAGATCAGTCAGATTAGGCTACCAAAACAGAGGATAACCAGTTATACAGGAAACTGCTGGATTTTATTATCAACAAGCTCTCACACGAAAATCCAGATCTGCCTTCTACAGAACAGCATCTGATGAGGTAAGACGCATTTATGAAGATTGTTTGAAGATTCATTTTAATGACAACATGAAACCTAATTTAAGAATTGAAAATAAAACTATTGAAATATGGATGTTGCAGCTGGTAACTTTTAATTTGAAATACTCAATCTTTATCCAATGCAGTTACTTATGATTGATCAAAATCACAACAAAACCTATTGAAACTTGAAATTATTTTTGAAATAGTCATCAGTGTGGAAAGTAAAGGACTGCACTCATGAAACTGTGTCTCAATTTATTAAACAAATCCCTGAAAAGTATCTTGTGTCAAGTACAACAAAATGGATAGCCATGATTTGTCAATGTCTCATATGCACTTTATTTCTAAACAAAAAGTTGACACCTTAGGGAATTCCGAAATCTTTCTTAAGGAAGTAATTTCAATTGATGACAAGAACATAACAGTATTACAAAAAGGGTCCTAATATAGTTGAATGCACATTATCTGCATATTACACATGTAGGTACAGTAAACTGTATATATATATACCTGTGGGAGTGTGTATGTATATATATATATATATATATATATATATATATATATATATATATATACATAATTTCTGAATATTTATTCATAACATTTACATACTGCAAACATTGCAGGGATATACACATTTTCTGATTTATTAGGCAAAAGTTATTCAGAAAGTGAGAGGCAAAAGCCAAACATTCTGCGATAAAGCCTCCTTCACAAAAGGGAGAATGTTTTGTTTGTTGAAATGGCTATAAGGGTGTTTCTTATATGTAGTCTTACATTACAGGAAAAAAACGTAAACTAAATGAAATGTAATGTAGTCTAACCTGGTTGTTCGTACTTGATATAATTGATTTTGCTAGGAACAACCAAAAACCCTGCATTCTTGGAACGCAATGCCCTAGTGGGACAGTAGGGTATAATGAGCTCTTTAAGATAAAGATGGGGCCTGCTCATTAAGGGCTTTGTAGGCGAGAAGAAGAATTTTAAATTCTATCTTGTGTTCTACAGGGAGCCAAAACAGGAGTAATGTGGTCCCTTTTCCGTGCTCTGGTCAATACATTTTGAATCAGCTGAAGCAACTTAACTGACTTTTTGGACACCCTGATAATGAGTTACAATAAGCTAGCCTTGAAGTAACAAATGCATGGACTAGTTTCTCTGCAGCGTTTTGAGGCAAGATATGCCTGGTATGTGATTTTGTAAATACATTTAGCACACAACTACAATCATAACATCATTAGAAAATGAAATGATTTGATGATTTTTATGACTGTGATATTTTGTTTTCTTTGATAAATGCGGAGTTTAAGCGCATAACAACCCTGCCCCTCCAATCAAGATTTCTCTCTCAGCTGGATGTGCTATCTGACAAACTTCTGAAGATTTTTGAGAAGAGAGGAGGACAGATAGGCCAGCGTCTGAACTGTATTATGTCAAACATGACTCAAGTAAGAATTAATTTTAAGGAAATTATACATCGAGTCAATAGTGTACACATTTCATTGAGCAAAACAGATTCTTTCTTTTCGTATCCCCCTTCACTTAGGTTGATGATGTCGATTTAGGGCGGGAATGTCTTCTCAAGGGGCTGTGTTTGCACCTCAATGAGGACCCAGTAGATCTGCTGAGAGAGTTTGTGGTCAGTAGAAGTAATATTTGACCTTTTGATTTTTTTTGTTGGGCTTTAAAATATGTATTTATTGAAACACCACATAGTATAAAGCCAAAAGTATATGAACATTCCTGTTTTTTGTTTAATAGCCAGACTACACTGAAAAGCTAGAGGGCTTTTAATTTAAAACGGATACAGGAAGGGAAACATTTGTTATCAGGTCAGACAGGAGTATATCAGATAACAAGGAGACTTAAAAGTACTGAAATCTGACCAAATGTACTTGTTAAACACAGGGATTTAGTAATGGGTATTGTTAAGGAATAATTCTTCTAGATATCTAACCTTTTACTCTGACATCTGTTATCTCCTTTAAGGAAAGGCCTTGGTGCCATATGTGTTGTTGTCACCAGGTTGTGACCGGTCAACTTGTCTGGCACGAATGGTACTTGTTGTGAGAACGCTGAGGCACTTCTTTATCGGTGTTTGTGGGCTCTAAGATGTGAAATCTTTGAGGCCATGAGTGTCGGACGCAGGTGGTTCAGTGTTCCCAGCTGTTTAGTCTACTCCTTCAGAGATGTTGATTACTCTCTGTGAACCAGTTAAAAGGTCTAACATAGAGAGAGGCTCTTCAGAATTGACGTGGCAACTCTACCGTGTAGTCAGAACCTCTGACTCTTTGATTTGTGATGTGAATCCTCCGGCCGAATACTCTGAATAAACCCATCAGTGTTTGACATCAAAAGCTCCAACTCTCACCGTGTCTCCTTCCTGACTCGGTGACTCCATGCATTACTACACAGAAGTTTTCTCCACAGGTATATATATGTATTGATTTGTTAGATCTCACTCTGTTCCTTTTGTGACTGTGCACTCTGCAGGCAGAAGATGAAGACGTCATTCTGCGGTCCATTCAGTGGATTACAGTGGGACTTTATGTTGTCAAACAAAATTCCACCATGAGACCAGAGGACAGATGAGACCAGAGGACAGATGAGACCAGAGGACAGATGAGACCAGAGGACAGATGAGACCAGAGGACAGACGAGACCAGAGGACAGATTGTCCTGGAAGGCCAACAAGTACTAACTGATGAGGACAACATTGCATTAGCTGCTACCATGTTATTTGGACTAATGTATGCAATGAACCTGAACTACCCCCCTAAACTGAAGTGCACGTTCGAAGTGCTCCAGAAATCGTTAATGGAGCTAGATGGCAACATGCTCTCCAAGAAAGCCCAAGCGTTTAAAAATAAACTATTTGAGTGAGCTGTTGCCATGGACCATTGTGCACTTTTACAGCATTCATACTGGACTTTCATCGATACAACTGTCTTGCACTTCCTTTGCTCATGCTTTTTGCTGTATTTATTTGCATGTTTCAGAAATGTGTGTTTTTCCATGAGTTTCAGAATGTACCACTTGCATCAAAGTGTCAGATTTGCAGAATTGTCTTTATCTAATTGCGCTACCTCAAAATGTCAGTTCTTGTTTTTATTTGTAATACTTTCTTTAGTGCATATGTGGTGAGAAACCAGGCCATTATTATACTTTCATGTATCTTTCTTGTATTAAAGTGACCTTTCATATTAGCAGGTTACTATTTCAATAATGGATTTGCAAGAACATTTCCTTTTTTCGGCGTTGACATTTTCTGTTAATTGTTTACTATGAATGAGTTAAAAAAATAAGCCTTTCTTTGCCATTTGGCACAATAAACCTTTATTTTGGTCGGGAGAATAGTTTCCTTTAAGCTTCCTTGCTGTGTTCTAACACAATAATGTATATATACATGCATCACAAACATTTTCTATTTCAAATCAAATCAAATCAAATCAAATCAAGTTTTATTTATATAGCACATTTATAAACGATTTTTGGTCGAGCCAAAGTGCTGTACCAGTGGCGGCCGGTCCATAGGGGCGCTAGGGGCGCCGCCCCACCTCTTCCCATATTGAAAAATAAATAAATAAATAATAATTAAAATTAAAATTAAAAAAAAATATATGTTTAAAAAGATATATATGTTTTTATTTTTATTTTTAATGAACAAGGTAAATATTATATAATTGGTATCAGTAAAATGTATAATCTACAATAAAATCTCGTTTAAAATTGTGTTACGATGTCTAAAGTTACTGATAAGTCACATGTTTCCTGCCTGGCCTTGCCCATGCACCTTCTCTCGTCTGGGCGCTAAGAGAGGAGCCTTCAACCAGTGCAGCAGCAGCCACCAGCAGCTGACTGTTGCTATCTGTAACGTGTAAACTATGCCGCGAAAATATAATTTCAGCCAATCAGCGTCGTCAAAGATGACGGTCACCGGGCGCCAATGTCAGCGCCCAGTGCAGTCTGTGAGTAGTTTGGACAGTGACTCGTATCCGGTTGACGCAGTAGTTGATGAGGATGGCTTCGTGTGCAGGTGGAGTCTCCGGACCTCGGTCCCCGGCTAATTCTGTTCAAGAGCTAATCTCCAATCCTTTCGAAAGGAGAAGTTTGGCAGATAAATTGTTGCTTAAAGACCTTGCACCGGACCAACCCGATTTGAATATATCGCAGCAATCTCGTGAAAAAGACAACATTTATACACGAGGCTTAGTAGCTGGTACACAAGAAAGGCTTGGCTAGCTGGATGCAAACAGGTAAATGCTGTCTTTTGTTTCCCATGCTTGGATATCACTTTATATGTAGAGAGGAGGTTTCCCATGGTTGTTAGAAGTTTATTAATAAGTGGGCATTTATCACAGAAGTGATTGTTCTGTCTCCACGTTTGTTGCATTGTCTGTGATGTATTTTCCAACGGTTATAGCTCCTGTTCTGTCCCAGCAACACTACACGGTTTGCAGCTCCACCACATTTTTGGTTTATCTTCGGTGTCGCTTAAAATCTGCTTCCCATCGGACTAAAACCTCCACGTAATCTGAAGACAGATACTTGAAGTTATTTAAACCTTTTGCAAACTTTATGTTCTTTCTTGCTCTAGCCTTGCCAGTTACATTGTACATAACACATATATTATCATTATGCTAACTGGTTGTTCGTGTTAGACGATGTAGCTTTTTCATTTCTGAGTTATTGCTATATGTAAATAAGCCTGTTTGTAAATAATCCTCAGAGAAACAAAGAAAAAAACACAATTTATGACATTTTGTGCTGTGGTTATTTTTTTTAAATTGCATTTATTCACAGTTCAGTTTGAAATGCTGTAGTGACTTGTATTGAACCACTTAAATATTTATAATTAATGCTACTGAAAAGATGCTATTAATTTTATATCTCACATGCAGTTCACTGTAAAGCTACTTGGTGAAGGTGTTGGTTCATAAAACATGAACAGTTTTAAGAAAGAAAAAAACAGACCAGTTCTGAGAACACAAATTCCTGGTAAAGTAGTAGATGTTCAGGTTGATAAATAATATTTTCCACACTGAAGATTATGGAGGTATTGATCAGTCTTCTCATATTTTTAAGCCTCGATTTCTCCTTTCCCCCCCCCTCTAACATCACCAGAAGTCATCATTTAAGGGGTCATTTCTCGAAAAAAAAATTCGGGGGGAAACCCCCCGGACCCCCCGGGTAGGTCACTTACGGTACGTCAAAAGCCCCACCAAAAAAAAAGACCACCGGCCGCCACTGATCATCAGCATAGTATTAGCAAAGATATCTTAACTTGGTAAGTAAGAACCAAACGTTAGCTTTAACGCTGTCGCCTCTCAGCGTCATACTAATGGTGATGTCACTTAACACAAAATGCTGTACAAAAATAAAACAAAAAATGTTTCGGTGCTCCGTATGTTTTATTTGTTTGTGCACCTGTAACCACATTAAAAGGCGATGCCATATGCTAAAAACAAGATTTTTAGCATAAATGAGTTTCTGGTTACACAGACATATATATATATATATATATAAACACACACACAGGTATATACAGTTTACTATACCTACATGTGTAATATGTAGATAATGTGTATTCAACTATATTAGGACCCTTTTTGTAATACTGTTATGTTCTTGTCATCAATTGAAATTACTTCCTTAAGAAAGATTTCGGAATTCCCTAAGGTGTCAACTTTTTGTGAAGAAATAAAGTGCATATGAGACATTGACAAATCATGGCTATCCATTGTGTTGTACTTGACACAAGATACTTTTCAGGGATTTGTTTAATAAATTGAGACACAGTTTCATGAGTGCAGTCCTTTACTTTCCACACTGATGACTATTTCAAAATAATTTCAAGTTTCAATTGGTTTTGTTGTGATTTTGATCAATCATAACTGCATTGGACAAAGATCGAGTATTTCAAATCAAAAGTTACCAGCTGCAACATCCATATTTCAATAGTTTTATTTACAATTCTCAAATTAGGTTCCATGTTGTCATTAAAATGAATCTTCAAACAATCTTCATAAATGTGTCTTACCTCATCAGATGCTGTTCTGTAGAAGGCAGATCTGGATTTCCGTGTGAGAGCTTGTTGATAATAATAATAATAGATATTAAGCATATATATCAGGTGTCTTACCTTTCCAAGTTTTTATGCTGATAATGCAGGAAAGTTGGTCTCTGTCCCAATTTCTGAAATGAAGTAAGTCTTCATTGCGGAACAGCTATTCAAATGAATGTAACGTTTCATGCAAATATCGCAAGCAAAAAAAAGAGGAAGTAGTCAGTTTAGCTGAAATAAATGATAATGTTGATGATGAGAAAAGTTAAAACCTACCTGCCTTCTGCCCCTGGTCCTGCAATTTGCCTCAGTGTCTCTTGTTCCTGTTGGTGTGATTTGCATTTGCAAATTACCTTTGTTTCCTGTTCCTCTGCCAAGCCCCGGCCAACTCTGCCTGCTTCCTACTGGTTTGTTCTGCTTGGACATGTTTGTATTTCTGTGTTCAATACCTGCCCTGCTCTGTACCAGCTGAGTTTTTAAATCAAACTTCATTACGAACTGTTCCCGGTTTCCTGTGTGTTGCATTTGGGTTCCAACGCCCCCTGTGCAAAATCTCAATGTAAGGGGCTATTACGGATAATGAATATCCAGGGAGCGGACATTGAGATTGTAAAATCTTCCAAAAACCTGGGTGTTCATCTGAACAATAAACTGGACTGGACTGATCACTCTGCTGCTCTGTACAAGAAGGGTCAGAGCAGACTGCACCTGCTGCTTTTATGATGGGGTCTGCTGGGGCAGTACAGCTCGGCTGATGACAGGAAGAGACTAATTGACTGGTAAAGAAGGTCAGCTCTGTCCTGGGGAGTCCTCTGGACACTGTGGAGGTGGTGGGAGACAGAAGAATGGCAGCCAAGCTGTCCTCCCTGCTGGACAATGTGTCCCACCCCCTCTAGGACAGCCTGCCTGCTGCACCCCGCTGTCTCACGGAGAGATACCTGCAGCAGTCAGACTTTACAACCACCACGACCCCCCACACTGTACAGACTGTGCATCTTGTGCAATACAACTGCAATGTGCAATATCGACACTTTTTGAAATGCTGTGCAATAATCACCTTTACGTGCAAACCACCATTGTAATACATGTCCCACCTACATTTTTCTAATGTCTCAAAACCTTACATTACATACACTGATCAGCCATAACATTATGACCACCTGCTTAATATTGTGTAGTTCCCCCTTTGGCGGCCAAAACAGCCCTGAGAGGTCTAGTTGATGGACTCAAAGACCTCTGAAGGTGTGCTGTGGTGTCTGACACCAAGACGTTAGCAGCAGATCCTTTAAAGATCTCCTATCTTGCTATTTGTTAGGCATATATTATAGGTCTCAGATATATAAACATTTATAAAAAAAACATGTCTATGGAGTGTTTTGCTCAAAATACCAAACAGATCACCCATTCTAGCCATGCCTCATTCCCTTCAGCCCTGTTGGAGAAGTGCTGAATCTGGGTCCTTAGCTTTAAAAAAAAAAGAGGGGGGAGCTTATGCCTGCTCAGAATTCTACCGAGATACTCAACTAAATGCTGCCGTGATCAAACGCCATATCATGTTAAAAACCACATCAACGATATTTCTGAAATAGTATGGAGCTCAAATGCTTTTTCTCTTGTGGGTTTACCACAATGTGAAACCTTTTCACAACTAAAAGCACAAAACAGTAAACATTCATACAATACTCATCATCCTGATGACAAAACAGCATATTTTTTTTTTTTTTTCACAATTTGTTTATTGAACTTTCTTTTTTTTTAATAAACAAACAGAACAGAAAAAAGGGGACAGGACTGAGACAGGACAAAAACAGAAAAAACTAAATCAAAAACTAAAGGCTCTGAATCTAAATCCATTATTAATAACGAAATGAAAAAGTCAAAGTCAAACAATGTGTAAAATGGAAACAAAAACACCAACACATCAAATAAAACATATCAATTGTTGGTCAGTCAGCCACCCATTAATCACAATTCAACACCGCAGGTCCACCACACTACTGTACAGAGACATCCGGCATGTCCAGCTCCCGTATATACCTGTAGAAGGGGTCCCACATCTTGTGGAATTTCCCCAGGGAGCCCCTCACTAACAAAACAGCATCTTGTTTAGTATGTGTAATACATTAACAGTGTTACACCAATACTTTGATAAACATCCTACCATCATCAAAATAACCGGTTTCTCTTCCTTAAAAAACACATTCAAATCTTCTGAGGTATATTTTTAGGAATATACAGTATGACTTTTGAAGTTAAGTTGGATGTCATTTAATATTAAGGCTGGTATTATAATTTGTTTCATCTCTCAACTTGAGTTATTAAAAAAACATTTGAAAACATCAATCTATTGTTTAGACCAGGGATGTCAAACTCAAGGCCTGCGGGCCAAAATTGGTCCGCGACCTCATTTTATGTGGCCCGCAAGAGTTTGCAAAGAATATAATATACACTACAATTGGCGTAATTGTTGAATAAGTGCCTGATAAATAAAATGTATTATTATTATCTAGCCGCCCTTTTGAGGACATGTGTAGGAGAAGAGAACATTCATTATATTCTTAATAATAGGAGGTTGTGGGTGGAGGTTGTTTGGCAGGTGGTGAGCAAGGACCATCTCCCAGGCATCAATCAGATGAACATTCAGTCCTTTAAAAATGGCTCTTAGCACCTTATCATTCTGCATCGAGAACCAGTCGCCGTTGGTTGTTGCCGTTAGAAGCTTCACAGTTTTGGCGTTTCCAGTCCTGATGATGATCACCGTTTTTGGAGCCCTGTCCAACAGCCGCACCACCGCACTGCGGATCCTTTGTAGCCGCCGGATGTACACCTCGATGGGGAAAGAACCAAAGTGAGCCCAGATGCCAAAAACGACAACAGTGTTGGGAACCCCGATTAAGTCATCTAGTTCATTGGCAATGTAACGAATTTCTTCCATTGAGCCGATAAAACGGAGAGGAGGACCATGGAGGTGGAAAGTCACCATGATTGTGTTTTTATAGTCTAAGGCCATGAAAGGTCCATTTTGCCTCGAGCTGCCCAGGTTAAACTCCTTAAGATCTAAAGGTATAACAGAGGAAACAGATTAAGATGCAGTGTGAACATAATGAAACTGTTGCCGGAAATCCCTGTGGATTAGTTACCTGGTAGTGCTGCGTTGAGGAACTCAAACCACTGCCTGATGGTAGAGTCTCCATACATGTGGACCACTTTGCCTTTTAGACACTGAGTGATGGCAGATGCGCCGGTGAATTGGCGAACTTTGGTGCCATCTAGTGCTCGCCATAAACCCTGGTAGTAATAGCCAGAGGCTTGAAAGTTCACAATGCTGCTCTCCACCTCTGGCTGACCTGAGAGAAAGTTGAAGGATAATAGGGGGGTTGTTTTACGTTTGTTACTGACCTTAACCAAATCAAGGTTTAGACTGAATGTATGAACATTTTATGGCCTTACTCCTGAGAGACTAGACACTGCAACAGCTGTGCCGTGTTGACAAAGTTTGAGCTGAGAGCTCCATGCTCCCTTTGCTCCTGTCAAATTGGCCTGCTAAATACATCTCTCAACAGAAGAATGATACCCAAAAGAAAGAGTTGTTGTTTTGTTCTGCCCCTACACTTTCATCATCTGTACATGGAGCACATTAGATCATGAATTCAGTGATAAATGCATTCCTTACCCTCCTTTTTTGGTAAAACAGTGACACCGGCAGGTCCTGAAGCCGGAATGCGGACTTTCAAGTTGACACCACTGAAGAAAAGCACAAACAATACTACAATAAACATTAATATCCCAAATGCAGCTTTTCTACATGTGGTTGTGGAATGGCATGGAGGTTTACCTGAGGTAAACAGTTTAGAAGGTCTACTTTTCATGCTGTATCTTATCTTAATTATATTGATATAAGGGGTCTTTTGCTGCAGCTTTTGTCACCCTACATTTTCCTCGTGTGAACTTGGAAGGTTCAAACCTTAGAACTAAGCCTTACGGCATAACATTTTGCAAAAGATAATAAAAGTGTATTTGACCAAAGCTGTCCGGAAGTGAAATACTATGAATTGATAAAATAATCCAAATATCACACATTTGTCTCATTTGCTTTACAGAGTGTATTCTGGAGCACACAACGCCCTCTGTCCTCACACACTCGCAGCGCACAAGGAACAATTCCCTAAAAGAAACCCCACAATTGAGGGATTAAAGGGAAAAAATTGAAGAACCTCAGGGAGAATGAGAGAAAGGTTACTTCTCCGAGGAGGTACAGACATGTGTAGATGTTATGTGTACAGATAAACAACATTATACAATTAAAACAGAAAATCCAGATTTATATCCTATCAAACATTTTTTTTTAAGAAGGTCCACTATGATTCAGACTGAGTGGTTACATTTATATTATCTTGTAATCTAAACTGCCTGTACTGACAAACTTCTGAAACTTCAAGCCAAGGAGATAAATAGGTAACACATGATGTATGTATTTATAAGAAGTCACACAAATGACCAGTCTCTTTGCTTCCTTACCCTTGAAAGAGCTTATCCTCCTTGGCCTTGAGCAGTGCAGGAGTTTGCACTGCACTGCTGCGGGCGATCCTTGCATCACAGCTCATGTTCTTTGGATTGTAGCAGAAGTAAGGATCGCCGGTTCGAGGGTCGGTGAAGTCGCAGATTGGCTGCTTGGTTTGACGCAGGCAGATGTTACAGATGGTGGTTTGAGATTGTGAGCCTAAGCTCAAGACGCTTATGAAAAATACCCTGTCAGGATGTTCACGATTTAACCTGTTCAGCACTGTGATAGCTTCACTGGGATGAACTAGCGTCACCTGATTGGGTAGAAAACAAGAGTTTTTGTTGAGAATGTACAATTGGTGGCTAGACTCTGCTTTTGTCTGAAATAAAAAGTCATATCAACATTAGTTAAAAGGGGGTGGGGCTTTGTGAGTAATCAGTTGGAAGACAAATGACACACCTACAGCAAAATCACATAGAAAAAGATAGTTAAGCATCACCTCAACCTGAGCTGCTCCTTCCCAGAGTAAAGGAAAGACAACAGAGTAGCTCCCATTGAGATGGTCCACCACTTTCCCAGCTACACCTGCACCAAGCGTTAGGTTGTGCAGCCGGGCAACTAAAAAGTCCTCCCCAGACTTCTTGGGTTGTCCCTTGAAGTCAGAGATGGCGATGCTAACTTCCAGCTGATCCCCTACGTGCCACTGTCCTCCTCCTCCTCTCGCTGGGAGAATGGTGAAAGAGCTGTGAGCTGGATGACTGGTCAGCTCCAGGGAAAGAGGAGATGGCAATGCAGGAGTTTCAGGCCAAGCAACAGATTCTAGTATCAGGCGTTCCTCCAGAGCATCCTTAGGGGACAATGGTGGGAAGTTGCAGATGCTGCGGACTTTGGGAGGTTTAGTAGTAGCTTTCGGGTAGATGATGGGGGAGCTCATTTTAGGCTGAAACTTGAAGGGGTTGTGAGACAGAGAGAAGTTTACGTAGATACGTCAAACAAATGCAGCAAATGTATGAATATTTGTTAAGGGGGTTGATAAGAACTGTTGTTGTGTAATGTTTGCTCCATTCCAGGCTTCCTGATTTCTGTCTTTAAAGTTTCTCTTTCTTGTATTTGGCAAACTGCAGAATTACATGTTCTACGGATTCCTCAACCTGGCAGTGTTCATATAATCCAGATAGATGTTATCCTTATGAATAATGTAATGTTTTGTTCAGTCTAGTATGTCCTAATCTAAGCCTTGTTAACACATGATCCAAATGGATGGTTCTCTCAACTGTCCTGACTGGTTTTTGGCTGCAGTGCATGTCGGTGTCTTCTTGTGTTTCTTTTGTCCCAATTGTGTTGCCACTCCTTAATGATGTTCTATTTTTCACTCTGTGATTTGCTTCAGATTTACTGGGTGCAATGTTGATTATTTACTCATGTTTAAGAGACTGCTTGGCTAATGTGTCACATTTTCATTTCCCTTCATTCCTCTGTATGATGTTATCCACATAAATGTTATCTGGATATTTCTATTTCTTAATCTTTATGGTGTTTCATAAATGTCATTCACAATATCCTGCCTACGATGGGATGTAATGAAGTGGCATTATTGCTGAACTTAAATCTGAACAAAGAATAATCCTTTGGATTTGCATCTCTTCTATCCCCTGTAATGCCTCGTGCAATTGCCATCAACTCGACTGTGATTATAGATAAATGATCTGATGTTCTCCGTATGTCTGCACTTTAATGTTGGTTTGAGCAGAAAATCTGATACTTTTTTCTAATCAGCAACACCTGTGCTAACACATTACACTCAAACATATAACATACACTGTGGATGGCTCATGCACAACACAAATCCAAAAATAACTCACCAATGTGTCCCATATGTTAAGCTGAAAAAGGAAACATTCGTTTTAGCCAAATATAAAACATTTCTGGAAATCAATTAATTCCTGCAGTTCAGAAATTGGAATTTGATGGATACCCTTATTTCTATTATGTTATATTATCTATTTATTAAACAATATGCTTTTATTCCAATTGAATGAAAGCATATGTAAAGAATAAATACCTGAATGTATTTTGCAAAGAATTAGTACCTGTAGACCTTCAGAAAAATGTATCCTCTCATATGTATGCGCTGTTGTTGTTGTTGAAGTATACGTGTGGCATCATTTACACATAATCTGTTTCTTTTACACTAACTGTGTGCCCTCGTGTTTGTCTGTGTCACTGTATAGGGCCTGTCTCCTAAAACAATCGGACTAATGTCAAACATTTCACAATAAGTCAACCCTATTAGTGATCCCAGATAACAGTTCTCACCTGCAAGAATATTAAGAAAGCCGTGAGCAGAAGGAGAAAGATGGTGAGACATGTTCTTCCTTTAAAAGATGATTCCTTCATGATATGGTCCAGCTCCAGCCTGACACTGTGACCACTTCCTTTGGTACAGGATTAAATGATAACACATTTATGCCAGGTTAATACAAAATGCAATCATAGAATAAATTATAATTAGAAAAAGATAACGTCATTTTATTAGAGCCAAGCTTACCTGCAGCATTATAAACATATCTTTTATTTTTACAAGAATAATTCTATAGTTGAATATAAACTCAAATTTCTACATAATAATTCCTTTTTACTTTTGGTACTTTATGTATATTTTATTGCACTTATTTGCAGTTTTGAATGCATGATTTAAAAAACTGATTATTTGTCAATCTTCTCGAGAACTTTAAAGTAGCGCAACAATTGAAATAGTCAAAGTAAATGCAAGTACCTAAAAATAATACACATTGATATTAGGTTAAAGGCAACATTTAGTGTTATGCTACCTATACAATCAAACCCCAAATTACCTTAGCATAGCTTAATTGGGATATTATGGTAGGAAAGTCTTCGTGTGATCCTACACTTTATTATGCGTTGATCTATCAGTAGGGACTGGGACTGAACAACGGCCCCTGGACTCTGACCAAGCCCACAAAAAACGTGCACATGCCTGCATGCGCACTGTTAGGTAGCTATCCTGTTAATTAACACTCTTAATTCCAGCAGGATAGCCAGTAACCCAGTCTGCATTGGTTTACGACATTATGTGCGTGATTCTTACAGTATTTGCTGCCTGAAGCTGCTTTATAGTATAATAAGCTCCTTCACTTAATGAAATCCCTGCAGCATGTAGAGCCTCTACAAAGAAAGAATGACACACGAGTAGATGTGCCGCAGGAGCGCGCACAGAGCAGTGCCGCAGAAGCGCGCACAGAGCAGTGCCGGTTACGCACAGTCTGGCACTGTTCACCTTCATTAGATATGATTACAATGCAAACAGGTTTCTACGGAATAACCACTCCTAACTCAACACACACCAGATGATCGGAAATGACCATGATGTGCTTTTATGATGAACGATACGTTCACCAGGGCGCACCAGCCATGGACACGCAATAGCCAGCAGCAGCGGTGCACAATGCTTTGTGAAATCATCATCAGCATAGTATTAGCGAAGAAATCTTAACTTGGTAAGTAAGAACCACACGTTAGCTTTAACGCTGTCGCCTCTCAGCGTCATACTAATGGTGATGTCACTTAACACAAAATGCTGTACAAAAATAAAACAAAAAATGTTTCGGTGCTCCGTATGTTTTATTTGTTTGTGCACCTGTAACCACATTAAAAGGCGATGCCATTTTGTAAAAACAAGATTTTTAGCATAAATGAGTTACTGGTTACACAGACATATATATATATATATATATAAACACACACACAGGTATATACAGTTTACTATACCTACATGTGTAATATGCAGATAATGTGTATTCAACTATATTAGGACCCTTTTTGTAATACTGTTATGTTCTTGTCATCAATTGAAATTACTTCCTTAAGAAAGATTTCGGAATTCCCTAAGGTGTCAACTTTTTGTGAAGAAATAAAGTGCATATGAGACATTGACAAATCATGGCTATCCATTGTGTTGTACTTGACACAAGATACTTTTCAGGGATTTGTTTAATAAATTGAGACACAGTGTCATGAGTGCAGTCCTTTACTTTCCACACTGATGACTATTTCAAAATAATTTCAAGTTTCAATTGGTTTTGTTGTGATTTTGATCAATCATAACTGCATTGGACAAAGATCGAGTATTTCAAATCAAAAGTTACCAGCTGCAACATCCATATTTCAATAGTTTTATTTACAATTCTCAAATTAGGTTCCATGTTGTCATTAAAAATGAATCTTCAAACAATCTTCATAAATGTGTCTTACCTCATCAGATGCTGTTCTGTAGAAGGCAGATCTGGATTTCCGTGTGAGAGCTTGTTGATAATAATAATAATAGATATTAAGCATATATATCAGGTGTCTTACCTTTCCAAGTTTTTATGCTGATAATGCAGGAAAGTTGGTCTCTGTCCCAATTTCTGAAATGAAGTAAGTCTTCATTGCGGAACAGCTATTCAAATGAATGTAACGTTTTCATGCAAATATCGCAAGCAAAAAAAAGAGGAAGTAGTCAGTTTAGCTGAAATAAATGATAATGTTGATGATGAGAAAAGTTAAAACCTACCTGCCTTCTGCCCCTGGTCCTGCAATTTGCCTCAGTGTCTCTTGTTCCTGTTGGTGTGATTTGCATTTGCAAATTACCTTTGTTTCCTGTTCCTCTGCCAAGCCCCCGGCCAACTCTGCCTGCTTCCTACTGGTTTGTTCTGCTTGGACATGTTTGTATTTCTGTGTTCAATACCTGCCCTGCTCTGTACCAGCTGAGTTTTTTAAATCAAACTTCATTACGAACTGTTCCCGGTTTCCTGTGTGTTGCATTTGGGTTCCAACGCCCCCTGTGCAAAATCTCAATGTAAGGGGCTATTACGGATAATGAATATCCAGGGAGCGGACATTGAGATTGTAAAATCTTCCAAAAGCCTGGGTGTTCATCTGAACAATAAACTGGACTGGACTGATCACTGCTGCTCTGTACAAGAAGGGTCAGAGCAGACTGCACCTGCTGCTTTTATGATGGGGTCTGCTGGGGCAGTACAGCTCGGCTGATGACAGGAAGAGACTAATTGACTGGTAAAGAAGGTCAGCTCTGTCCTGGGGAGTCCTCTGGACACTGTGGAGGTGGTGGGAGACAGAAGAATGGCAGCCAAGCTGTCCTCCCTGCTGGACAATGTGTCCCACCCCCTCTAGGACAGCCTGCCTGCTGCACCCCCGCTGTCTCACGGAGAGATACCTGCAGCAGTCAGACTTTACAACCACCACGACCCCCCACACTGTACAGACTGTGCATCTTGTGCAATACAACTGCAATGTGCAATATCGACACTTTTTGAAATGCTGTGCAATAATCACCTTTACGTGCAAACCACCATTGTAATACATGTCCCACCTACATTTTTCTAATGTCTCAAAACCTTACATTACATACACTGATCAGCCATAACATTATGACCACCTGCTTAATATTGTGTAGTTCCCCCTTTGGCGGCCAAAACAGCCCTGAGAGGTCTAGTTGATGGACTCAAAGACCTCTGAAGGTGTGCTGTGGTGTCTGACACCAAGACGTTAGCAGCAGATCCTTTAAAGATCTCCTATCTTGCTATTTGTTAGGCATATATTATAGGTCTCAGATATATAAACATTTATAAAAAAAACATGTCTATGGAGTGTTTTGCTCAAAATACCCAAACAGAATCACCCATTCTAGCCATGCCTCATTCCCTTCAGCCCTGTTGGAGAAGTGCTGAATCTGGGTCCTTAGCTTTAAAAAAAAAAGAGGGGGGAGCTTATGCCTGCTCAGAATTCTACCGAGATACTCAACTAAATGCTTGCCGTGATCAAACGCCATATCATGTTAAAAACCACATCAACGATATTTCTGAAATAGTATGGAGCTCAAATGCTTTTTCTCTTGTGGGTTTACCACAATGTGAAACCTTTTCACAACTAAAAGCACAAAACAGTAAACAGTCATACAATACTCATCATCCTGATGACAAAACAGCATATTTTTTTTTTTTTTTCACAATTTGTTTATTGAACTTTCTTTTTTTTTAATAAACAAACAGAACAGAAAAAAGGGGACAGGACTGAGACAGGACAAAAACAGAAAAAACTAAATCAAAAACTAAGGCTCTGAATCTAAATCCATTATTAATAACGAAATTGAAAAAGTCAAAGTCAAACAATGTGTAAAATGGAAACAAAAACACCAACACATCAAATAAAACATATCAATTGTTGGTCAGTCAGCCACCCCATTAATCACAATTCAACACCGCAGGTCCACCACACTACTGTACAGAGACATCCGGCATGTCCAGCTCCCGTATATACCTGTAGAAGGGGTCCCACATCTTGTGGAATTTCCCCAGGGAGCCCCCTCACTAACAAAACAGCATCTTGTTAGTATGTGTAATACATTAACAGTGTTACACCAATACTTTGATAAACATCCTACCATCATCAAAATAACCGGTTTCTGTTCCTTAAAAAACACATTCAAATCTTCTGAGGTATATTTTTAGGAATATACAGTATGACTTTTGAAGTTAAGTTGGATGTCATTTAATATTAGGCTGGTATTATAATTTGTTTCATCTCTCAACTTGAGTTATTAAAAAAACATTTGAAAACATCAATCTATTGTTTAGACCAGGGATGTCAAACTCAAGGCCCTGCGGGCCAAAATTGGTCCGCGACCTCATTTTATGTGGCCCGCAAGAGTTTGCAAAGAATATAATATACACTACAATTGGCGTAATTGTTTGAATAAGTGCCTGATAAATAAAATGTATTATTATTATCTAGCCGCCCTTTTGAGGACATGTGTAGGAGAAGAGAACATTCATTATATTCTTAATAATAGGAGGTTGTGGGTGGAGGTTGTTTGGCAGGTGGTGAGCAAGGACCATCTCCCAGGCATCAATCAGATGAACATTCAGTCCTTTAAAAATGGCTCTTAGCACCCTTATCATTCTGCATCGAGAACCAGTCGCCGTTGGTTGTTGCGTTTAGAAGCTTCACAGTTTTGGCGTTTCCAGTCCTGATGATGATCACCGTTTTTGGAGCCCTGTCCAACAGCCGCACCACCGCACTGCGGATCCTTTGTAGCCGCCCGGATGTACACCTCGATGGGGGAAAGAACCAAAGTGAGCCCAGCATGCCAAAAACGACAACAGTGTTGGGAACCCCGATTAAGTCATCTAGTTCATTGGCAATGTAACGAATTTCTTCCATTGAGCCGATAAAACGGAGAGGAGGGACCATGGAGGTGGAAAGGTCACCATGATTGTGTTTTTATAGTCTAAGGCCATGAAAGGTCCATTTTGCCTCGAGCTGCCCAGGTTAAACTCCTTAAGATCTAAAGGTATAACAGAGGAACAGATTAAGATACAGTGTGAACATAATGAAACTGTTGCCGGAAATCCCTGTGGATTAGTTACCTGGTAGTGCTGCGTTGAGGAACTCAAACCACTGCCTGATGGTAGAGTCTCCATACATGTGGGACCACTTTGCCTTTTAGACACTGATGTGATGGCAGATGCGCCGGTGAATTGGCGGAACTTTGGTGCCATCTAGTGCTCGCCATAAACCCTGGTAGTAATAGCCAGAGGCTTGAAAGTTCCACAATGCTGCTCTCCACCTCTGGCTGACCTGAGAGAAAGTTGAAGGATAATAGGGGGGTTGTTTTACGTTTGTTACTGACCTTAACCAAATCAAGGTTTAGACTGATGTATGAACATTTTTATGGCCTTACTCCTGAGAGACTAGACACTGCAACAAGCTGTGCCGTGTTGACAAAGTTTGAGCTGAGAGCTCCATGCTCCCTTTGCTCCTGTCAAATTGGCCTGCTAAATACATCTCTCAACAGAAGAATGATACCCAAAAGAAAGAGTTGTTGTTTTGTTCTGCCCCCTACCACTTTCATCATCTGTACATGGAGCACATTAGATCATGAATTCAGTGATAAATGCATTCCTTACCTTCCTTTTTTGGTAAAACAGTGACACCGGCAGGTCCTGAAGCCGGAATGCGGACTTTTCAAGTTGACCACCACTGAAGAAAAGCACAAACAATACTACAATAACATTAATATCCCAAATGCAGCTTTTTCTACATGTGATTGTGGAATGGCATGGAGGTTTACCTGAGGTAAACAGTTTAGAAGGTCTACTTTTCATGCTGTATCTTATCTTCATTATATTGATATAAGGGGTCTTTTGCTGCAGCTTTTGTCACCCTACATTTTCCTCGTGTGAACTGGAAGGTTCAAACCTTTAGAACTAAGCCTTACGGTCCATAACATTTTGCAAAAGATAATAAAAGTGTATTTGACCAAAGCTGTCCGGAAGTGAAATACTATGAATTGATAAAATAATCCAATATCACACATTTGTCTCATTTGCTTTACAGAGTGTATTCTGGAGCACACAACGCCCTCTGTCCTCACACACTCGCAGCGCACAAGGAACAATTCCTAAAAGAAACCCCACACTTGAGGGATTTAAAGGGAAAAAAATTGAAGAACCTCAGGGAGACTGAGAGAAAGGTTACTTCTCCGAGGAGGTACAGACATGTGTAGATGTATGTGTACAGATAAACAACATTATACAATTAAACAGAAAATCCAGATTTATATCCTATCAACATTTTTTTTTAAGAAGGTCAACTATGATTCAGACTGAGTGGTTACATTTATATTATCTTGTAATCTAAACTGCCTGTACTGACAAACTTCTGAAACTTCAAGCCAAGGAGATAAATAGGTAACCATGATGTATGTATTTATAAGAAGTCACACAATGACCAGTCTCTTTGCTTCCTTACCCTTGAAGAGCTTATCCTCTTGGCCTTGAGCAGTGCAGGAGTTTGTTTTGTATCCTGCACTGCTGCGGGCGATCCTTGCATCACAGCTCATGTTCTTTGGATTGTAGCAGAAGTAAGGATCGCCGGTTCGAGGGTCGGTGTGATAGTCGCAGATTGGCTGCTTGGTTTGACGCAGGCAGATGTTACAGATGGTGGTTTGAGATTGTGAGCCTAAGCTCAAGACGCTTATGAAAATACCCTGTCAGGATGTTCACGATTTAACCTGTTCAGCACTGTGATAGCTTCACTGGGATGAACTAAGCGGTCACCTGATTGGGTAGAAAACAAGAGTTTTTGTTGAGAATGTACAATTGGTGGCTAGACTCTGCTTTTTGTCTGAAATAAAAAGTCATATCAAACATTAGTTAAAAAGGGGGTGGGGCTTTGTGAGTAATCAGTTGGAAGACAAATGACACACCTACAGCAAAATCACATAGAAAAGATAGTTAAGCATCACCTCAACCTGAGCTGCTCCTTCCCAGAGTAAAGGAAAGACAGCAGAGTAGAGTAGCTCCCATTGAGATGGTCCACCCACTTCCCAGCTACACCTGCACCAAGCGTTAGGTTGTGCAGCCGGGCAACTAAAAGTCCCCCCCAGACTTCTTGGGTTGTCCCTTGAAGTCAGAGGGATGGCGAGTGCTAACTTCCAGCTGATCCCCCTACGTGCCACTGTCCCTCCTCCTCCTCTCGCTGGGAGGATGAATGGTGATGAAAGTGCTGTGAGCTGGATGACTGGTCAGCTCCAGGGAAAGAGGAGATGGCAATGCAGGAGTTTCAGGCCAAGCAACAGAT